AGGAAGCGAATAATAATAATAATAATTTTTACATTTGTAATTTTGCGAAATTGAATGTGTCTGTAATATGCAATTAAATTTTTTAAAATTATTTTTTCTGTTTTTTTTACAATCGATTTTCTTCATTATTCTACGTATAAAAGTATGAAGGTAAAGTCATTGAAAAGTGAATACTTTACGAGATTTCATATTTTATATTAAAAATATTATAACAAAATTTTGAATATCTCAGAAAATTTTTAATAAAAACGGATTTTATAATAATGTTTTGAAAACGTCTCGACGAGATCTACAACTTTTATCTCAAGGAAAAAATCAAGTTTTATTTAAGAAATTAGTCTCCTTTAAAATTTCTTGAAAATGACGACATGTGTGACACGACTGACATTGAAATCATATGTCCCCCTTCAAACCAAACAACTTTTGTCTGAAGCATTTTTTTCTGGAATCACAAATAAAAAAGTTTGGGGGTGATTGATTAAATTGGACACATATATATATTTATATATATATATATATATTATATGGTAAAAGCCCGAAACACGGGCAAACCTAGGATTGACTAACCCAATTCTCCCGAACGGCCAAGGGTCTTGGTCAAAGTTTTGTAGTAATTTGTTGATATGTGTGTATAAATAGTACATAAATAGGCGGAGCTTCTCCCCCCGTATAATAAAACTAATCAAACTCCCAGTCTGATACCTAACTGCTTTAATCAAAACGCTTGGTTATTTCTCAGGATTGACCAGCCATTCCGCCGAATTGACCAGTCAGTGCTAGAAATGCGTTTCGGGCTTTGACCATATTATATATATATATATATATATATATATATATATATATATATATAAAGGAAGATGTCTTGACTAACTGACTGATTGACTCATCAACGCCCAGCCCAAACCCCTGAACCGAATTTTTACCAAAAGTATATGAAATAGGGGTAGAATTTCTCAGGGAGTGTTATAAAATGTATAGTTTTTTGTTACCAATTTTTTGGAAACCGGTTTTTTTTTAATTTTTCTAATTTTTTGGGAAATGACCGAATCTCAAAGAATTGTACATGAAACGGGGGTAGAATTTTCTGGGGAGTGCTATAAAGTGTATAATTTTTTGTTACCGATCTTTTTGGAAGCCGGTACCGAAATTTTTCCAATTTTTCGATAATTAAATGACCGAATCTCAAAGAATTGTATATGAAGTAGGTGTAGAATTTTCAGGGGAATGCCATAAAGTGTATAATTTTTCATTACCAATCTTTGGGGAAATCGGTATCAGAAATTTTTCCAATTTTTCGAAAATTAATTGACTGAATCTCAAAGAATTGTACATGAAATAGAGGTAGAATTTTCTGGGGACTGCTATAAAGTGTATTATTTTTCGTTACCGATCTTTTTGGAAACCGGTTCAGAAATTTTTCCAATTTTTCGGGAAATAATTGGCCGAATCTGAAAGAATTATATATGAAATAGGGGTAGAACTTTCCGGGAATTGCCCTACGTCTACTTTCATTCGCTGAATACTTTAACATGAAATAGTGACAGTTGACGTAGTTTTACGTTGTGCTGCACAGTTGTTACTGTGCCAGTTTCTTTTTTTATTGATAATTTTTATGGGTAATTTTCCGTTAATGTATTGATTTTCTTGAAACTGGTGCTAAAAATTTAATTTTTTATTAATGTATTGATTTTCTTAAAACTGGTGCCAAAAACATACTTATCTATATATATAAGTACCGGACGTCTGTCTGTCTGTCTGTCTGTCTGTCTGTCTGACCGCGAACTACTCATTCGTTAGTGGACCGAATTTTTATCAAGGGTACATGAAATAGGGGTAGAATTTCCCGGGGAGTGCCATAAAGTGTATAGTTTTTCGTTACCGATTTTCTGGAAACCGATTTTTCTAATTTTTCTAATTTTTCGGGAAATAATCGACCGAATTTAAAAGAATTATATATGAAACAGAAGTAGAATTTTCCGGGGAGTGCTATAAAGTGTATAATTTTTCGTTACCGATCTTTTTGGAAACCGGTTACAAAATTTTTCCAATTTTTCGGAAATTAATTGACCGAATCTTAAAAAATTATATGAAGTAGGGGTAGAATTTCCCGGAGATTGTCATAAAATATATAATTTTTTGTTACCGATCTTTGGGGAAATCGGTATCAGAAAATTTTCAAATTTTTCGGAAATTAATTGACCGAATTTCAAACAATTGTATATGAAGTAGAGGTAGAATTTTCTGGGGAGTGCTATAAAGTGTATTATTTTTTGTTACCAATCTTTTTGGAAATTAGTTACAAAATTTCTCGGGAAATAATTGAATCTTAAAGAATTACATATGAAATAAAGGTAGAATTTCCCCGGGATTGCTATAAAGTGTACAATTTTTTGTTACCGATTTTTTTGGAAACCGGTTACAAAATTTTTCCAATTTCTTGGAAAATAATTGAATTTTAAAGAATTACATATGAAATAAAGGTAGAATTTCCCCGGGATTGCTATAAAGTGTACAGATAATGTCAAAATTAAGATCGATGAAAACAGCAATCAAGGACAACTTATTGAGGAAAATTCAAAATCTTTTACAAAAAATGTTGTATATCGAGAAATTTTGTAACAAAGCTGCTATTTATATCGAGGGTGGGGGCCGGGGGAGGTTTTTAGCCGGTGCAAGTCCGGCATAACCCTAGGGACCGGCCCTAGGGTATGCATTAGGCATTTTCCTCCTCCAACGAAAAAAAAAAAAAAACCCATATCTCAAAATTTACGGATATTAAAAAATTCACGATAAAAAATTAAAACTTTTAAAAAATAAAAAAAAATGTATTTAAATTAAAAATTAGTATTAAACTGAGAGTAAAATAAAGGTTGAATCTAAAAAAAACGAAGATGTAGATTACAGTTTAAGAAGAAAAAATAACAAATTTAGTGTTTCAAATTAATGGGTAAATTTAAAGCATATATAATTAATATACAGATAGATTTATACCCGCGCGAAGCGCGGGCCGAAAAGCTAGTAATATATAAAACCCGACTATTTGTCTGTCTGTCCGCGAACTATTCATTCGTTAATGGACCGAATGTTAAAGAATTTTATATGAAATAGGAGTAGAACTTTCCGGGAATTGTCATAAAGTATATAATTTTTTATTACCGATTTTTTAGAAACCGGTTCCGAAATTTTTCCAATTTTTCGGGAAATAATTGACTGAATCTTAAAGAATTATATATAAAATAGGATTAGAAAAAACTAAAGAATGTAATAGAATTAAAAAAATTGCTAATAGTAAAGGGTTTCCGATTTCTGTCTAACCCTTAAATGCCACACTTCTCAAGAATCTCGTAAGTTCACTGAGGGGTCTAAAAGACCCCAGCATGAAAAATGTCTCCTTACTCATTGATTTTTTTATCTTTAGTTATGACAATTTTTCTCAATGTTGTTCAAGGTCTAAAGAAGAGTATAAAATGCTAATATTGTTCAAATTTCAATTTTGACATAGTATAAAAAATTAAGTAAACTGAGTACTGCTAAGTGTACATGCACACGGGTAGGTCAATCACTCAACTATCATCAATGGGAGCATGAGCTCCATTTTTGGCAAGAACATTTGAAAACATTTCATTCTAAAGGGTCTGGGGTCTGCTGGACCCCACTGGTCATTTAAGGGTTAAAAAAAATGTACGTGATTGCTCCAATTTCCGTAAACTTTGAGATATGAAGCTAAATTTTTTTTATGGATAATTTTTTGTTACCGATTTTTTAGAAACCGGTTTGGAAATTATTAAAATTTTGAGAAATAATAAGTATTAATTGACCGATTTTCTTGAAACCAGTGCCAACATTTTTTTAATTTTTGAAAAATAAGTTTAATTTTTCATTAATGGATAATTTTTTATTAATGGATCGATTTTCTTGAAACCGGTGCCGAATTTTTTTTAATTTTTTGTTGTTAAAACTGGTACCAAAAGATTACTAATTTTATGGAGATCGCTACTATGGAGTTGAAAATTGGATTTTATGGGGTTCTATTGGTGCTCCTAATTAATGGGTGAGTTTGGGGAGAAGGGAATAGATTTTGAGCCCGCGCGAAGCGGCTCCATGATATATATATATATATATCATGGTAATGTAATGTTTTAATGAAACCAAAAAGTAATTAATTACAAACAATATTATAGCATTTGTCCTAACGGCTGTAAAATACATAGTATTCTGCATAAATAATTATTGCATAAAAACAAATAAAATATAAACTATATAAGTAAAAGTAAAACAAAGCCCAAAAAACATATAGTGCATAATAAAGAAAAATAAACAAAAGCACAAACAGTTTAGACATAAACAAAACCATTGTATTTTTTAATCAACATATTACACATTTGTTATATTTTTAATATGCATGATTCTTCTGTCATTTTCATTGTGTGCATTTTATCACACGAATATGATTACATTATAATAACACAATAATAACAGTAGTAAACTATAAAAATATTAGTAATAATTCAAGAATAGCATATAGAACTAATATAAATTAAAATTAAAACTAAAAAGTGGAAAAAATAAAGTAATTAAAAAGATATTTTTTATTTAGGCAAAGTGGAAGGAGGTTGTAGGGGTTGAAGGAGAATTTAAAGTGGATTGATGGAGAATGTAAGGAGGCGGCGTAGAAGTGCAGAACGCGGAGGACGCTTCTGCTTAGGACAGAGACGAATGGAGAAGAATTGTCGGCGAGGTCAACGTTCACGATAGACAAGGAGATTACAAAAACGATGACCCTATATGATAATATTAAAACATGATATATTTTAACTGTAAATTTTGTTATTAATAATTAAATCTGATTAAGAAATATTTTACGTTTACCAATGATATATGTATACTTATTACTTATTACAAAAAGTATAAGATTTACAATAGTTATTTTATTTATAAATAAATAAATAATTTTATTGATAAAAAAAGTAAATATAGATATATTTAAAAAAAATACTTACAGTAGATCACCATAGAGGCGTTTGCTGCCCGTTCGTCCTCAAATGTCGATATCACACACATATAATCACCACTTAATTCAATTCCTGGTTTATCTAGCTTCATGGCTCGATACTCGGTGAAAGGATCATCGCTGGCCTTGTACGTTAAATCGATGTATTTCGCGGCCGGCTCGTCAGCCGGGACTAAGGGACTTCTGCCGTGGATCCACTGGTAGACTACTCGGTTGTCGTTGAAGAACCACTTGACCACTAACCCTTGGCTCGAAGTGTTTTCCAGAGCGTAGTCGCAGTCGAGGATCACATGATCGACATCGCCAACCTTCACAGCAGAAGGGATGTTGATGCTTCTGATGATGAGTTGCTGGGATTCTACAACGAAACAATCGGGAAACTTGACTTCTTCCTGATGCGTAAGTATAACTGCTTTCATTTTCTCTTGAACTAAAATGCTATAAAAAATAGATTTACAAACATTAAAAAACAGAATAATTTTAAGAAAAAATGTGAGAGGTATATTACAATCTTGTTATTTAAATTTACCTTTTTCTTAAAAAGAATAATATTACAAAATTGTGTCGAAACTAAAATTAAATTTGTATACATTATATTCTTTTATATTGCTATGTTTTGATATTTAAAATATTATATTTAATAAAGGATAATATGATTCTATACGGTAACATGACTGTAAAGTCAAGTATTTAAAAAAATATGATAGTTCTTGAGATATACTGCCATAAAAAATTCTTAAGGATGTTTTGGAGGTTTATCAAAATGCTACGAAATTGATGAAAATTTAATATCATATTCTGTATTCTCTTTCAAAGTCCGGGGCTAAATTTTAGATTGATTTACATTTTAGATAAAAAGTTATAATAAGAGAAAATAGGATAGAACCGTTACGATATACAATCAAATTAGAATAAAATGCCATTTACGGTCCAAGCTTAGATCTTTGGCAGCCTTATATTAATTTCTGTATATATATATATATATATATATATATATATGTATATGTGTGTGTGCGTGTGCGTGTGCGTGTGCGCGTGTGTGTGTGTGTGTGGGTGTGTATACATATATTTTCCGACTTATTTAACTGCGAGCCGATTCTTTGTCGGACTTGAAACACAGTTATTTTTGGAACATTAAAACCTTTCCCTCCCCGAAATTAAATCGACTCGATTTAACTATCTAAAAACTGTAAAGAATTTACGAAGAATTTGTGAAAAATATTTCCCCTCAGCCAGGGTTCGAACCTAGAACCTCCCTCATTCCATGAAGGTGATATACGTCGTATGTACCAATTCGACCACTGAAGCATGTGGTAATATTTATCACAATAATCGGTTAACAATAGTTTGAAACGTCTTTCTCAGATGACGTAAATAAATAATAATAAGAGAAAATAGGACCGTTACGATATACAATCAATCAAGTTACAAGTTATCAATTTTTGAATATCCAAGTTTTAACGCGTAACCTCATGGCGTTACAGAGAAAAGTGTAAACATTAAAAAATGCTACCAATATAACGATATTATCCATACAAGTAGATTATCAACAAACAAAAATATGGCAATAGAATTTGAAACGATTTACAAAAATTTTTTTTCAAGATTTTTTTTTACAATTAGTTAATTATGTTCGCTTGATATAAAACAATTTAAATAAACGAGGCTGGCGAACAAGCAAAGTATGCTTTATGCTTAAAATATTATATTATAAATTCAAAACAAATACAAACGTTTCGGCCTTAAATGTGGCCTTCATTAGTGTAAAAAACAATTATAACCTTGGTCGTTTAACGGAAATTAAATAATTAACGGAAATACTGAAGTGTTACATCGATATAGATTAAAAAATTCACTAAAATTATAAACTATTTACATATCTAGCCGCATACAAAAGACTCGCTTATGGAGAATTAATATCGGTGTTTTTAATATTTTCTGCATGACTTTTGGACCGGTACCTCCAGAACATCCTTAAAGGTGTGATTATAATCAAATGTATTCCAATGGAACAAAAGCCTTAATTAAAGAAAATAATAATAACAAAAATAATAATAATAACTAAACGAAATGTTTTTTATCAAAATAACAAAATATTTAACACAAATATTTGCTCTATTAGAAAAATATATCCATAATTATATTATATAACTATCATAATATTTACTAGTTTTTTATATACTTGAAATTAATTCTTTTAAAAATTGTTATCCAATTTTTGAAATTTTAAATATTCTATAAAAATTGTATTGCATATATAGATTGCTATAGAAATGTATTATACATATTACTACGATTATCTTTGTATATATTTTTAGTCATTTTTTTCTATAACAAACATTTATAACGTGTCTGTGATTAATACTACATTTATGCATCCCTAAACATATAAGAAATACGGTATTAGTCAATCAACTATTACTTTTTCGTAAAAACGAAAGATTAATTGACTACCGGTTCTTTCCACACGGCAAATATTTCCACATTCTGCTTGCATGAGGTCTTAGTTTTTTACAATTATCGATGTAATAAATCGATGTAATAAAAATATAAATAAATTAATACCGACTGTAAGTAAGCTCGTCTAAATCGTCCATACTCGAAATTTGTAACAATACTTTTTTTCGACAATGGAGATGTTTTTTAAATAAAAACATCTCCAATCTGAACTTTATATTGTTATTACAATATATTAGAGATATTTCTCCCTTCTTAGGCAGAGAAAAAATAAAAACACTTTTCAATAGCATATTTATAACAAAACCCTAGCGATTAAATCTACTACAAATTTGATCAGCCCAGGCGTTATTGGGATACCATAATTGAAGGTAAGTTGTCGTTTCGTCGTGCTCATGTGAACGTAATGTAAAACACTCTACCATGCTTCTTAATTCTTGTTATAAATTTATATTGATTACTCAGGAATTTAGGAAGTTTTAGTTATATATAATATATTTATATAGAATATAGTTGTTATTAGAGAAATCTAAGGGTATAATTGGAACGTTAAGATTTAAACAAATTAAAAACATTATTAAATATGAATAAATAAACTTGATTTTGCACTAAAATATCCTTTGAAATATATACTATAAGAGAAACACAAGTTTTACTGCGAAAGGAATAGTTTATAAGGATGAAATTAATTGTTTTATATTAAAAGCGTGAGTTTTCCTTATGTATTTTATGCGGAGTGTAATGAGATACCTCATAAAATTTGTTTATTAATGTTCAAAACTTACATTCTTATATATAAAAGTGATTTATTAAAACACGCAATATATGTAGGAATGTATTATTATACTTTTAATTAATAATAATTGTTTATTAATAACATTTTTCTTATTAAAATGTAAATAAAAGTCAAAATTTGGTATAATAGTCTTTGGCATCAATATTGCGCAACATACATGTAATATAGGTACTGATAGCGTATGAAGAAAAAATAAAACATTTTAAGAACACAAGTCATTATAGGACTAATGCTTCATTATGCTCGGAAATTTACAAGTTTACTTTAGGTAATATAAATCATCACAGGTAATCGATATTTACACAGATATTTTACTAAATTGACAAGAAAAGGTCGTTTAATAACATAAATGTATTTACAGTAATAAAAAATAGAATTTTATCACACATTGCTTGTCTTATGCAAATGTATCAAAAAAATTGTAACTCAGTCGCGGAGTGCAAACGCATTAAACAATTTGTAGCATATCTTTCAGCTAAAAATCAAAACTGATAACAATACGCGGTTAGAGACATCTAAGAGTAATAATTTCGAAACATTTCACTACATATCAGTATCTCTGTAAAAAGATATCAACCATATCCCATTATTTCCCGGGTGTTCCTCTATATTATAAGAATGACATTCCAAGAATATATACGGAAAAAAAATGATATTGTGTATCAAGAGCATCATTTTTTGTATCAACAGCAGCAGTGTTATTGAGATAAAATTTATTGATGCAACACACATCAATATTAATGAACAAAAAACATCAGATTATTGTTTTAATAATTTAAATATTTGGTCCAATAATATCCAATTGAATTAACTACATATGCTTGTGGCAGCCCGTGTCGTCGACGTTTAATTTAAGCAACTTTATATATACTATTATATAAAACCCGACTGTTTGTCTGTCCGTCTGTCTGTCCGTCCGTCCGTCCGTCCGTTTGTCCGCGAACTACTCATTCGTTAGTGGATCGAATTTTTACCAAAAGTATATGAAACAGGGGTAGAATTTTTTGGGGAGTGCCATGACGTATATAGTTTTTTGTTACCGATTTTCTGGAAACCGGTTTTTCTAATTCTTTCAATTTTTCGGGAAATAATTGACCGAATCTCAAAGAATTGTATATGAAACGGGGACAGAATTTTCCGGGGAGTGCTATAAAATGTATAATTTTTTGTTACCGATCTTTTTGGAAGCCGGTATCAGAAATTTTTCCAATTTTATGGGAATTAATTGACCGAATCGCAAAAAATTGTATATGAAGTAGGGGTAGAATTTTAGAATTTTACGGGAAGCGCCATGATGTGTACAGTTTTTGTTACCAATCTTTTTGGAAACCGCTTTTAATTTTTCCAATTTTTCAGGAAATAATTGATTGAATCTCAAAGAATTATACATGAAGTAGGGGTAGAATTTCCTGGGAAGTGCTATAAACTGTATAGTTTTTTGTTACTAATTTTTTGGGGAACCGGTATGTTTTTGGAAATCGGTTACGAAATTTTTCCAATTTTTTAGGAAATGATTGAGTGAATCTCAAAGAATTGTATACGACGGAATTGAATTTCAGTAGATAAAAAAGTAATATTTTTTAATTTATAGCATTTTAGAGAGAGAGAGAGAGAGAGAGAGATAGAGAGAGAGAGAGAGAAAGAGAGAGAAAGAGAGAGAGAGAGAGACTATTTGCGTGTCTTATTACATATGTCCTCCGGGGCGAAGCCCGGGTAACCAGCTAGTATACATATATATATATATATATATATATATATATATATATATATATATATATGCACAAACATATGTAGTTAATTCAATTGGATATTATTATCTGTATCATTAACAAAAATATATCCGATATTTTTACATAGTTTCTATATCTATTTTACCTAATTTATATAATATTTACAATATTATACACAAAATTTTCATATTCTTTGAGATTTTTTCACTACTTTTTTCATGAAAAGTTATCTTTAACATTATTTAATACAATTAAAATTTTTTATAAGAAAGATTTTTATAAGACATTTTATATATTTTATTATAAATATGTATTTTAAGATGAGGATTTTACCTCTTTTTTTTCGAAAGGTAAAAAGCAATATCTTAATGTCTAAAAATGTGAAAAAAAATGTAAAGAAATGGAAGAAATCATCACAAATATAAGCAATAAGTAAAGATTTATTTATTAAAATTGTATATTCAACATTTTTTAATTTTATTTTATAATTTCAAAAGTATTAACAAAAATGTAAAATGTCAAAGTTTTTGAAGGGATATTTTCATCTTTAAAACCACTTTCCTGTTAAAATAAAAAATAATTAGTTTATTAAATTTATGTACACTATATGTTTTTCTACAAAATGTTAGAAAAATAATATTTTTTATTTTTGGATTAATTGTAAGTCTTCTTTGTATAACGCGCGTTTAAAATAAATACTTTTTTTGAACATATAATTTTTCTGACATATACATTTAATTTTTAAACAAATTATTCATTCACAAACAAAATTGAAATGATTCGAGATTATTTCTGTTTAATCAGCATATAATTATAATTAATACCCTGTAGTAGCTCTACGATAAAATAAATGTGACACAAATGTCGTTATTACGGTAATAATACGATAATACGGTTTTGCGTTTCCTGGACACAGTTTTGCCTGGTCAACATAGAAGGTGGACGGTGTATAACCGTGGGGTAAATCCGACCCCTGATATTACACGTGGACACGTATATAGAGAAGTGCATACAACACCGGTAACGAGCGAATAGCGAATAAACATTGCGGGTATACAACGAGAGCGCCGTTAAATAATCACGTTAATTGTAGCGGATTCTCTGCTCTCTGTAATGCAACTGCAATAGCCTGCAATAGTACGCCTGTTCTACTCTGTAAACGATATCGACCATGCCACTTAACGGAATTATCCAATTCTCGCATGCGATGCCTAATTGATGAACTTATTTTCGAGTTGTCTTAAAAGCACATTTTTAGGAAATAAAGATTGTCTAATCTATTTTGAAATTATTCATAGTATTTAAAAAACATCTCTATTTTTTTAATTTAAAATTTCTTTATGTAACTTGTTACAAATTTCTTTTAAATAGATTTTTACATAAATATAAATATATATATTATATACATACATACCTAGATGTATATATATCGAGATTTAACAGACCAGTTAACAGTAACATTTAATCGTTATATTAATTGCACATTTGCAAAATTTTTCATTTGGTGTAAGTTGACTTTTTTGTCTGGTGACTTAGCTTTTTGCTTGGTGCGCGCGGAAATTTACGCTTTAAACTTTGACGTGAGACGCGAAAATATACGTAGCTTTAAATACGCGTGTAAATTTCAAGAGGAAAAGAGAGAAAGAGAGCCGGTACTTTGTGTATGCGCACAGTTTTAGAACCAAATAAGCAAGGAAAAACATGACCTACTTTAAATCTCCTTTGTAGATTGGCTTCAAATGCAGCTTTATAACTTTCTATTTGAAGATTTCGCAACTTGTCCATTTATCTTTTTCAACTCAAAGTGCTCATATATAGTATGTATTTTAATATTAAAATCAATTTATTTTTATTATAATGGTTTATATGTTATAATAAATGTTATAATTATTTATATTATCATCCGTATTAACTACAAAAAATTATTTATTTATTTATTTATTGTACATACACGCACATATATATATGTAATATATATATATATATATATATAGTGCACAATTATAGCCTCAATTATAGTCCACAATTATAGCAATTATATATTTAAACATTTATATATAGATATATAATTTATTTTTTTATTATAATTTATGATACTTTGCACAAAATTTAATTCTTTATAAATAAATAAGATAATTTATAATGTTGTAAATTATATGTATATTATGTTAACATTATTTATAAATGAACAAAGTAATTATATAAATAAAAAAATAATTACTTTATTTTGAATTAATTATATTATATAAATAACCATTATTATTTATAATATATTAATAATTATTTGATTCATTTATAAAATATGCATAAAATATATTATAATTATTTATACATACTTTTGTTTATTAAAGTTTAATTTTATTGTAATTATTATTCGCGCACGCTCGTATGGATACGTGTTTTTATTGAAATTTGTAAACTTACTCTTTTATAATCCTCTTCTATTATCCTTTACCTTATCCTTTGCAGCAGACTAATAATTATAGCGTTTGCAATTATCTTTGCTTCTGCTGCAGAAAGCTCACCTCGCAACGCGTTGAAAACAAAGTGCACTTCATTATGCAATATTATATTTGGAGCCGAGCTTGTTAGCGATGTCACGGAAAACAAGCTCACGGCAAGCAATCGAACAAGGAATGTTTACAGTGCAAGAGAATTGTTGAAGACAGAAATCGCAAATTCCGGACAGATAAAGTCATGGTACTGATAAGAACAAAAATTAGAAAGCAGAGTGCGGTAATCCTCCAAATTTAACTCGAGCTTTTACTAAAGTTTAGATTATGAGAAGATTATAGTTGTTGCTAAGTTGAATAGAACTATGTTGTATATGAACTATTGGATATTCTGAAAGTTTTAGCTTTACATATTGCATTAAAATAACACAAGAAAGAACCATAATTTTTGTGAAATCTCAGTAATTTTCAAGTTATATAAATTTGTAGAAAAATACAAAGTTGGATAATTTATATAACATTATTGTACAATTTTAAAGTCGGATATAACGTTATTAAAACAATCCCGGTGTTCCGGAATTGAAATGCTGCGAAAAATGTAGTTTAAAGAGGATCGTCTGCGATCTATAAATACGACATCGCTGCGCGCATACTCCAATTTCGATCTGGTTAGCACGTGCTGCACACGTTGTAGAAAATTTTGAACGCAAAACGGGTCAGCTCTGACGAAAACCGATATTCTATTTTCAAATGTGATTGGTTATTAAATAATAAAATAATCAGTAAAATAAACGGCTTACTTTTTCATGATACATGATGAGAGATATGTCGAAAAATTATTTTTTATTTATTGTTTGTTTAACTATTTATGGATATATGAATAAATACGTTATACGAAACACGTGATAGTATGGTAAATATAATATATAATATATACATTATATTTTATACATACATATATACACAGTACACACACACACACACACACACACACACACACACACACACACACACA